GAAAAAACAAAACATTAATCAAACGATGACAAAGACATTGTTAATTCTGCGAAAATAAATGAGTCTTCAGCTCCTTTTTAAACAATAGAAAGATAGATCTGGTCTTCTTAGAAACGATATTGCGGTCTGTAGATTCGTTGCCGGCACAACCAGGAGGTTCATGTCATTTGATCTCAACTGCGAACCCAACACAGATGTTTTTCTGATGAACATGTCTGCCAAATACTGTGGTGCTGAACCATGTAATGACCGAAACGTTAAGACAGCAATTTTGAAAATTATTTTTTTTTCAATTTTTAGCCAGTGTATGTCATTCAAGATTGGAGTCACGTGATCGAACTTCAGATTTTTTGTGACAAGTTTTGCAGCTCGATTTTGAATAGACTGACGTAAAGAGTTATTGACTTGCCAGGTATTTTAAAGTATAAACTGTTACGATAATCTAATCTGGATGTTATAAAAGCATGTACCAGTGTTTCCATGGCAGATCTGTTCAAATAGTGTCGAATCTTGTACAATTTTCTGAGATGCATCATATTTGCAATTGATAGCGACTTTATTTGATCTTTTATTGAGAGCCTGCTATCCAACCATACCCCAAAATTCAAGGCTGTAGAATCAAATGATATTTCAACGTCACCAACTGCAACCGAGTTTATATTAAGTCTTGACAACTGCTGCCATGTACCGACAGGAAGCTTCTGAGTTTTACACCGGTTCAGCCTCAAGGAAATGCTCAACATCCAACGTTCAATCTCCATCAAACAACCAACGAGTTTATCAATCTCTGGCTGAAATGTCTCTGGATGACCTGTAGCAACTATCAATATGTCATCTGCAAGAAGTCCATACGACATTATTATTTTAATTATATCCGATGTAATGAGTAAAAACAAATATATATATATATATATAATTATATAGTTATATATATATATTTCTTAAGTTATATAAATAGAAATATACACACACACACACACACATATATATATATATATATATATAATATATATGTGTGTGTGTGTAATTAAGAAAAAACTTAATATAGCTTTCATTATAGCAGTTTTCACAGACGCTATCAAATTATAACCAATATTAATATCAAAACAGCAAGAATGAAAAAAACTGAACTACAATAAAAAAAAGGTATGTCCTTAATTCTCTTTTAAATTCAGCAATGTTCATTCCAAGCCTTCTGAGGGCTGACGGCAAGCCGTTCCATACGACACGGCCTGACACAGCAAAATCACGCGATCCCATCTTTAGCTGTCTATGAGGAACCACAAGAATGTTCGAATCGTCAGACCTCAGACGCACACCAGATGCGGTCGGCGTTTTTAATTTCAGTTTATCTGATAAATATTTTGGAGCCAGCTCGTATCGTGATATAAAAACTGTGACAGATTTTAAAAACAACTTTTTTATTTATGGGCAACCAATGCAAATCATTCAGGATCGGTGTAGCGTGATCATACCATCGACATCCAGTCACAATCTAGGCAGTACGGTTAGTATATATATATATATACATATACATATATATATATATTTCAATATATATATATATATATTGAAATATATATATATATATATACTTAGGTATAAATTCCGTTGTTATGAATGATAAAAAATAGAATTCTGTGAAGCGATGTCGAACCTAGGCTTTATGATTGATTCAAACTTTTATATATATTAACCAGTATATATATATATATATATATATATATGTATATATATATTTTTTGAATTGAAACATTCTTTTATTCAGCAAAATTTCACAATAATAAATTACTAGGAGACCAGAAGTTTTCACTTGTTAGGCCACCTTGTGAGAAAAGAAAAGTAAAATAACTTCTAATAAACAAAATATCAAAATACAATAAACACTTTGACTAGAGCAGTTTCAATTAAACGATGAAAAATAATTTTCCAAGATTAAATGATGAACAGACTGCTTAAACGATCCTAGCGTTGGCAAATTTTTAACATGCATTGGTAAAATATCCCATAACCGACTCGACACATGAAAAACAGAATTAATTATGAAATTTGTACGAGGTTTCGGTAAATAAAAATCCGGGTTATTTCTTAAAACTATAGAACGGTGATTTAATAAATGATTGAACTGATGGTTTAATGGGGGACAGTAATTTAATTTAAATAATTTATAAAAAAACAATAAAGTAAATAAAATGTGTAATTGATAAATTTTCAAAATTTTTGATGACGTATAAAAATGACTAATGTGATCAGATTTAGTTAAACCAAACAGTATACGAAGAAAAAAAATTTGACAAACGTTTAAAATATGGATATTTGTCTTTGTACTAAAACCCCAAATAGATATGCAATATGTAATATATGGCAAAACCATTGAATAATACAATGTAAATAAAACATGATTAGGAAATTTAGACCTAAGACGATACATCACACCTAAATTTTTTGTAATTTTTTGTGAAATCATTTGAATGTGATTAGTCCATGACAAATTGCTTGTTATAACAACACCTAAAAATTTAGTAGATTCAGCCCTATTAATGCAGGTGTTATTTAATGAAAGTTGAACGTTAACAATATTAGTTCGAATCTTTGGTCCAAATAAAATAAAATGCGTTTTAGTAAGGTTAATTCTTAAATTATTAGCTTGAACCCAGTTGTATACATTAAGAAGCTCCACATTACAAATTGATGCCAAAACATTAACATTAGGATTAGACAATAACAAAGTGGAATCATCCGCAAAGAGAATAAATTTTAAAACTTTAGAAGAGTTAATAAAATCATTTATAAAAATATTAAAGAGAAGAGGACCAAGTATCGAACCTTGAGGAACGCCAGTAGTGATTAAAGAAGGAGTAGATTTAGAGTTATTGATATGAACATATTGAGACCTTTCATTCAAATAAGAAACAAACCAATCAAGAGCTACACCCCTAACACCGTATTTAGATAATTTATATAATAAAATGGAATGGTCAAGAGAATCAAACGCCTTAGAGAGATCAAAAAAGACACCAATTGAAAATGACTTAGATTCAATAGCTTTAGAAATGAAATTAACTATATCGGCCACAGCAAATTCAGTAGAATGTTTGGCCCGAAATCCGTATTGGTTAGAAATTAATAAATTATTCGAATTCAAAAAATTAGTTAGTCTCAGAAAAACAATTTTTTCCATATGTTTAGATAGACTTGAAATAATAGAAATAGGTCGCTAATTATTTACATCCTGAGGATCCCCAGATTTAAATAAAGACATAACTTCAGAAGTTTTTAAGCATTTAGGAAAATAGCCGTTCTCGAAAGATAAATTAATTAAGTGACAGAGAGGTGAGATAATATTAGATATAGTAGATTTTAAAAGAAAATTAGAAATTAAATCATCTCCAGAAGAAGTAGAGTTATTAAAATTGTTAACCACATCAAGTATATCACATTCCAAACAATTAAATAAAACAAATGAATTAGTCACATTAACATTGCAATACTGTTTAAAATTTAATAAAGTACTATTATTATTATACACATGGTTAACATTTGCAGAAAATTTATCATTAAAACAGTTACATAAGCATAAATCATCAGTAATCAAGTCATTGTTCAGTCTAATGGCAAAAAATGATGGTTTTGGTTTGAGACCCATACAAGATCTTAGAATACTCCAAGTTTTTTTACCATTTTTCATTACTTTATTAAATAGATAATAATAATGCAGGTTCTCTGAAATTTTGCAAAGTTTTAAAAATAAATTTTTATATTTAATATACCTTAAACGATCAGATAATGCCTTTGATTTTAGAAACCTATTATACAAATGGTTTTTAATATATATATATATATATATTATATATATATATATATATATATATATATATATATATATTAACAGTTTTTTACGAATCCACCGATTTTTTTTAGCGTTGATCAACTTTGTTCATTTAGAAAATTTAGAAAACGTTAAGTTAAAACACATGCTAACACCACATGTGTTCATTCGTTGTGATGATCAAATGATCACCCAGAAACTATTTCACAAACTACGTATTTCATTTCATTATTGATAGCTATTATTATTTATATTTTCGTCCCTGTAATAAATATTGTTTCTATTCTACTATTGTTGAAAAAATAGTCTAGAACGACTTATCTGATATAATTTTAAAAAAATCGCATGACAGCAAGCCTCTCGTCGTTGCCATGAAGACGCAAGGATGCTGTAAGAAAGGTATCCTATGCAATCAATATTCTTGATAGGAATAAAACTGCAGCGGAAGAAAAGTTTTATGAATTTATTTACAACTTTTATAATTAATTGAAAATTTCATATTGTTTGAAGTTATTAACAATGATTAATTACTTTATCAACTACTTTCTATAAAATTTCCTCTTATTATTGAAATGCGGCTAACTGCAATCAGACGAAACCAAATTGGCCCGGACGATACTCTCGACGTGAAAGTATATTTTTATAAATCATTTTATATCGTCTTGCTACTATAATCTGTAATAATTGAATTTTATTATTTTTGGAGTAGATATTTTCTATTTTTTTAAAAGTAATGAGTAAACTTAATATAAAATCTCTACTTTTGGTATAAAAATAAACTAATTTAAAAAAATTATTTCATCGTTTTCTGTTTATACTTGTGTTACGATAGTTTTGCATTAATATAAATAATTACAGGGCATTGAACAAGATGAAAAAGAAAATCTCACGAATTGTATAGAAAAAAATTGTGATCAGTTTTGCAGTTTTAGTGCGTATCATTTAAAATTTTGCAAATCTTTATGTACCTCTACGTTTAATGGAGTTTTTTTACGGATGTTGTTGAAAACCAAATTACTTTTCACTAAAAGGTTTTTATCAGCTAATTTTTTAATTTTAATTTTGTTTTAATTTAACAATGTATTTAAACAACAAATTTTAATCAATAACATTTTTTTTACAATTATTGAATTTTTTTTTAATTTTTATTAGCTACTGGCAAAATCTCTCAGTCGATCCCGATTTGCCCGTATATTACAGATGGCTTTGTTTGGTATCAATAGCAGTTCTTTACAATTTAATTATCATTATTGCTAGATATGTATTTTGGGAGTTACAAAACAGCAAATTATCTTTATGGATATGTTTGGATTATGTGTGTGACGTTATCTATTTGATGGATATGTTTGTGCAGTTTAAAACAGGCAAGTTCATATCTGTTATATATATATATATATATAACTAAATAAATAATTTAATTTATATGTATATATGCTAAACGTTCTCCAAAAAACTTTAGTGAGAAAAATTGAAAAAACATACTACAAACATATTAACGCCAAACATTTGGTAGAATTTATAGAATATTATAAAAATTATGGTTTTTTACCAACATATATATATATATATATATATATATATATATATATATATATATATATATAATGGTTTACCAATAATATATATATATATATATATATATATATAGACAATCATAAATACAATTATTTATAAAGATCACTGCGTTTTCGGCGTTATAAAACGTTATTAATAATGTTTTGTCAAAAATGTCAAATATTAAAAGTTTTTTATTTAACCTTAATAAACTTCATCAAGATGATAAAAGTCTCGTTAGATGGTTATATATATATATATATATATATATATATATATATATATATATATATAACCATAATGCAGTAATTTATGATATCTTCCGAACTTCTGGTGTTGGATAGTTTTTTGTTTCATTTCTCATTATTTCTAATCAAATTCTTGTCATAATTTATTTTATTAAAACTATAATAATATACAGTTTTCAATTCATTCTTGAGTGTATATGATCTAATATAACTATTCCGATTTTAATATTATAAATAATGATGAAAAGAATTTCGTTAAAAGTATTGAGAAATGTACCAACAATTAGGATTTAAAGTACTATTCTAATTTCAATAAAATAAATAATGACGGCAAGAATTTAGATAGAAATATCGAGAAATGTAACAAAAAACTATCCACGCTAAAAATTTGGTAGATTTCATAAATGACTGCATTGTAGGTCCTATACACTCGAGAGTGAATTATAAGACTGTATAACATTCTAATTTCAATAAAATAAATAATGACGACAAAAATTTGGTTACAAATTTGGTTAGAAATATAACAAAAAACTATTCAACGCTGGAAACGCGGTAGATTTAATAAATTACCAATAAATATATACATATATAAATATAAATAAATTTATATTATTATTGTTAAAATATATATAAAGCCAATTATAATTTAAAAAAGTTCATCAGCACTTAATGTTTATAAAAGAAAATAATTCATAACAATGATTTACACAAATATGTCTTTAGGCGTTTTTTAAATTACAAGAGCGTTAATTCCGGTTGGTGAAATTCATCTGGCATTCTATTCAAAAAAGTCGGTCCTTTTTAATTTGAAGACATTCCTGTCTAAAAAAAACATAATATTCATCAAGTAGCAGACATTCTCAATCGTCAGGTTTTATTTCAGATGATATTATTGATTTGAATTGGACAACATGCACTGCATAAAATGTCATAGTAGGCAACGTTTTTAATAGGCAAAAGATGCTCTGGCCAGGATGCTAAGAAATTTTTCACTGTAGAACTTTAACTATGCAAAGATTAAAACAATTCAATATGTCACTTTAATTTAATAAATCATCTGTACTCATCATACACAATGGTCGTAAAAAAATAAAATTACCTCCAGAACACCCACACCACATTCACACAAAACGATGAACATATTAATCATTGCATTCACCTCCACACTCAACGTTGCAACTCATATAAACCACATCATCACAGGAGAACTTCAAACGTTTTAAGCACTCAAAATACTTTGCTCACTTGGTCTCAAATACATCAAATTATTCGATATCATAGAATCAATCATCTTCTCACGCATAAAGCATGCCGCTTTTTCTAAGTCCGGCTTCGTTACACAACTTCAACAAATACATTCTTTCATCAAAAAATTAATACTTTCAAAAATGAAAATTAGCATTGGAGTCGGCAAAACTTTTAAAACCGGTATTGCTATTGGTATTAGCGGTACAATTTTTGTGTTTTGTTAACAACCATGATTATTATTACTTTTTTCCATTAAATATGCAGTTGCTTGTAATACTTTATGTAGACATGTTAAATTTGATTTAAAATTATTTTTTGTAAAAATAAAATTTTTATGGCCGCCATTTACAAGTAAAAAGCAAGCTGTAATTTTAACTCTTTACGCGCTTAACCTATTATTCTATTACTTTTTAAAGCATTTGTAGACACTCTTTACATTTACAATGTTATTAACTTAACCTAGTTTGTTATGATTAATTTACTTTATAGTAAATATTTATCCTATTGAATTGAATGTAAATTCCAAATTTTAGCATATCTCGAACAAGGCATCATCATGACCGAATCTAAAATGATGAAACAAAATTACATGAGTAAAGCTATTTTCAAGGTGGGTTCAACTTTTTCTCTTCTGTTATTTCTAAAATGTATATTTGATTATTTTCACATTATATTTGATTAAAACATTGTTTATTTTTCCAATATTTTACTTGAAACTTTGATAGATTGATATCATGAGTGTCATTCCTACTGATGTTCTATATTTTTTCGTGTCAACAAATCTTGTGATTATCAGATTGAATAGGTAAGATTATTTTTTTGAATTAAACAAAATAAAAATATGAAGAATCTCACAAATAAAAAAATTGCTAAATAACTTAATACAAAGTTTTCGTCATTTGTTCTAATCTGCAGTAATAATAAACATAAATTATTCAATGAATTCAAAAGAATTAACTAAATTTTAAATTTGATCTATCAAATAACATTTACTTTGTAAAAAATATTAAAAAATATAGAATAGTTATTATAACAATTTTGGATTGCAAAAAATGGGATGTGACGCTGTGCAACTTTGTTGTTACACATCTTTTCGTTGTTTTAATTCCGTATAGTTATTAAAACAGTGCCGGCCTTGAGGGGGGGGGGGGGGCAAGGTCGAGCACCGGGTGAATGCGGACGCCTAATGCTGTCTGCAAAATAATCACTAAATAAAAATAAGATAAGATGAAAATAGATTTAGTTAAACTTATATCTATCTTTAACATAAATAAACTTATCCTGGAAATTCATATTATTAATTATTAAAAGTATTTTAATCAAAAACTAAATTTTATCATAATTTTTTAAAACGTTTCTGCAACTAAAATTCATTTTGTGTGCATGTATTCTTTGCGGCACCACATATTTTGTGTCTCACCAAAACTCATTTATGATTTTTGGAACGTTTTGCGACATTATTTCGCTCGTACTTGTTTACTGCTTAGATCATTTACAATTTAGTTACTCATGATATGATTGTCGTTGGGAAGCCAAAATTGAAAGTTTCAAAGCAAGCCGACACCGAATAAATAGCGTGCGTGATATTTTAATTACTATATATGAAACTGATACCAAAACTCCTGATATTGCACACGAAGCACTTAACATTAACAGAACAATTGAAAAATTATAGTTTTCTAGTTTCTTTAAATGCTAGGTACAGTGTACTGTACTGTTTCAAATAAACGTTGTTAATAATGCGATGCAGGCCAAGGACATGGATCTAGTATAATGCACTGAAATGCTTTAAAATGTATTAAGTATTTAGAAAATTACAGAATGTTTGGCTTTAAACTAACAATGAATGATGCTCAAAAATTAGTTGAAGACTTAAACTTAGTTTTGAAATTGATGAATTTGGAGGTTGTTTGTTTAGAATTTTTTTGATTGTGTTCCATTTTTGTTTAACATTGTTATATGCATTTTCAAGCTTGTTAGAGAAGTAGGCTTGTTCAGTTTTTCGCTTAGTAGATGTGAAAATGTTTCTAATGCTTTTAAAGGTGGCAATGTTGCGGGTGGTTGAATGTTTAAGTTTTATGATGTATAGTCTGTTTTTCTTTTTTGCTAGGTTTAAAATGTTATCATTAACCAAGCATTTTTTCATTCTGTTTTTGGCTGGACGAAGAAGGGCAGAAGTGTCAAGAGTGATTTAAGATAAAATTCAAAGCAGAGCAGCAGTCATTGACATTATTAAGAGATTTCAATGATTTCCAGTTGTGGATAGATAAGAAATTGTTGATGTTGTTTATAAATTTTTCAGTTAGGTTTCTGAGGTTCTTAACAGAGGCATGGTTTAATTTTTCAAATTTGGAAGCGATGGCAAATATAGGAAAATGGTCTGATATGTCAGACAGTATTATTCCAGATAAGTGATGATTTATATATAAATATAACTGTGGTCTCTGGTCATTGGCCATGTTTGGTGTGTAGGGCTGGAGTGGGAAGCAACTCGATAAAATGCTTACGATGTCAGCAATGGTGTCACTGAGGAAAGTGACTGATTTTGTATGCCCCGCCTGCATCAACCCACGTCAGATCCTGAACACTGAAGGATGCATGTCGTCGTCATCGCCTACGATGGTTTGGCCATGTGAAGCAAAGCGAAAACGATGCGATAATTTTTGTCACTGAGCACTAGGTGTTTGGCACCCGTCTAAGAGGTTGCCCGAAGAAGTTCTAGACGATGGATGCAATGCAATGAAGATGGATGCAATGGACCGATCGATTTGAAAACAGAAGCTGATTACTGGAATAAAAAAGGCCAACCCATAATGGATAGAGACTTTAAAGGAGGATTGATTGTGTGTGTGTATGTGTTATGTTTGTGTGTTTGTATGCACGTATGTGTGTGTGTGTAAGAGAGAGAAAGAGAGAGAAAGAGAGTGAGAAAGAGTTAAGAAATTAAGAAATATAGAAAATATCACGTCATTTTCAGCTATTCTATATTATTCAGCTATTAATCCATTCATGTTTCAATATTTACCATCGTATTTTTATCATTGTTAAATAATTATTTTTAAAGAAAACAAAGTTTTTAACTATTTTTTTGTTTATTTTTATCTTATACAAAAAAAGCATTTTTTGGTAATCCTTTAAAATTTTCAATCAAGCATGTTATCAACTATTGGTTGTATCTTATATCTGTGCGTTCCTACATTTTGGATCCAAAAAGCGCTTTGCGTTGATCCATATTAAATCATTGCACCATTTGTTGACAACGCTTAAAGTTCACTCTACAATCATTGCTTAACATATTCATTCATTCCGTCCCAGTGCAAATTCAGCACAATACAACCAATTCCTAAAACAAAACTTACATCATAACCAATAGATTTTATCGCCCACTTTCAATCGCCTTCATTCTTTCATGTATTTTAAAAAATTTATTGTTAGGTCATTCATCCACTCATGTTTCAGTCATCCGTCTATCAAACCTCTATTATAAAATCAATTCGCATTCAGCTTTATAGGTTCATCTACGCAACCAGCATATGTTGAATATAATAAAATTATTTTATAATTTTTTTAAATTTTTGAATAAATACTTATTATTTTTTTTGAATACAAACAAGTTAAAATGTTTTTAAAATGACAGAATTTTAAGATTTCACAGACTTACGGAATTTTTTAATAGAACGGAATCTCAAAGCTCAAGACCAAATCTAATTCGTATTTCAACATTGATGGCTTATATCATAATTATTGTACACTGGAATGCCTGCATATTTTTTCAGGTTTGCAAAAAAAAAAACTTAAAAATCAAAAAATTTCTAGACTAATTTATTATAAATAATAGCAAATTTGCCGAAACGTTCAAGTGATTCATTTTAGAATCCCAAGCAGAGAAGATTTTTCCAAACCGCAATCGCCCGTATCCGCAGAGTTAACGTTTCCAGCCGCCCGCTTTCGCTGAGTTCACGTCCGCAACCGCCCGCATCCGCACTGCTCATTATCCGCATCCGCACATCATCCACAACGCATCCGCACCGCATCCGCAAAAGGGCAACCTAAATCGACCGTCTTAATCTCATGTTTAAAATTAGAAGTTAGCAATACTAGAGAGCAATTTATTTACAATATAATTATAATCAGACAGCAGATAATAGGGTAAAACTAAACTGATGAAAGATGGCACATGGCAGCAGTTGTCGCGAGTCAAGACAGTGTGAATGTATATTATCGAAATAAATATAAGTGTTGTTAGCCGAAACCAAATTATGTCACTAGTTTACAATACGATTTACAACAATTCCATATCATTGAGTGTATTTTTAAAATGTTAATTAATGCTAAGTGGGCACTGGGCAAAAATATTCAGTGAAATTTACATATTATTATATTTAAATGTTGGTCGTACTAATATATATATATATATATATATATATATATATATATATATATATATATATATATATATATATTATGTGTGTGTGTGTGTGTGTATGTAGAAACTCAAACATAACGAGCGTTTAGCGAGAGTCTTCAGAGGAAGAGTTTCCGTCAACGAGTTTTTCTGTCCTTTAACTTCCCGACACTTTTAAGAAACAGGCCACATCCAGTGATCAATTGGATGTCTCACGCTGAACAAACAATTTGACTCGTTTTGAAATCACCCCCTTTTATACTGTAAAATTGTGTAGGCGTGCCAAAAAGTTCACATATCAAAATATTACAGTGTGAGTTATATCGACGAGCCAAGTAACACGTTGAGCCAAATCTGGGATTGTTGAATAATTGGATGCTTTACCGCAAACAAGCTCATCTGTTAACTATTTAAACTCGCATTCTTTTTTCTTCCTACATAACCATATCCAGTAAGTCGCTTGTTCGGCTGCGAGTCTTAAATTTTTCAAACAATTCAATCGTCTTTTACCTGCCAAACCCACATCTTCCAAAAAGCTGTACACTGAACAACCAACAACACCTCTTGCACCAACCTCAACTGCGTACAACAAACACTTTAGCCCACATTGTTTTATTTCACTAACAAGCTCTTCATACTTGGCTGTTTTTATAGCGTGACTTGCTGCTATATTAGCCTCATACGGCACAGTCAATTCGACTAGAACAACCGCACCACCACGTCGTGTCTCGCTCCTGTATCCTTTATGAACGATGGGTAGTTTCTCATGCCATCCATATCTGCCATAAACTTCCAATCTCTGCCGTTATCAAAAATACTTTTTTCGTTGCATACTTCATTTCTCGTGATTTGATCTAATTCACTCTCTTTTAGGAAATGGATTTTTCTCAGTTTACCCGGTGGCCTTGAATTTACCTCGTCACAAACATTGGAAGCTAGTTCCCCTAGGCTTTCAATACTTTGTTGGGCCTCCACATATAACGTCCATGACTGAGTGCGTATTTGCAAGAAGCCATTACGTGGGCCACCGTTTCCATTTCTCCACATAAGATACTCTTAGCTTCTCCTGCCATCTTCTATCTAGCAAGATTTGCTTTTGATGGTAACTAATCACACATGGCTTTTATAATAAATGCCGGTCTTAATGGAGCCATGTTATTATGTTATCATTCCACGTTAAACTCCTCTGTAGCACACTCTCCCACGTTGTCCATATGCCTTGTTGATTTTGTTGTACTGCTGTCACCACTCGTTGCATGTCATATTCTTTCCTTCATTCGTTACAATCATTTGTTCTCTCAATTTAGTCGATGCCTTTGACCACCACGTATTTGAAAACCAGCCCACTCCATGTCCTGTACTTTAAACAGCTCCCACAATCTCTTTAAACTTTAATTCCTCCTCCGCGACTTTTATTTCTTTCTCTGCGTTTCATTTTCTCCCTGTTTTTAACGATGGCTTTACTTTTTCTACACACTCGTCAGCTGAATTGTTTAACATCTATTGACACCTAATGTTAGCAAACTTGAATTTTTCCACCAGAGACATCAGAGGGAGTTTTAGTAGCCTAATTCTACTGTATAACCCTAACGATGTCAGACCTGGAGGAAATCCCAACCACTTACGTGTGTGCCGGTTGATTTTATTTTTAAGGCTCTCTACTATGGGTAAGTTGATTTCATAAACTGTTAGAGGCCATAAAAGCTTTGGTACCACCACAAACTGAATCAACCATACTTTGAATTTGCCCTGCAGATCCACTTTGCTGACAATTTCCAAGTATTTTAAGCAAATGTCTTCCAATTTTCCCATTTCATATACATCTTTCAGACAGGCATGATACCATCTGCCAAAACGCTTTACAGAATTGGATTGCAGCACTGGAATCTCTTTACCGGAAATTGTGAAATTTGTGTAGTAATCAAATTTTCTTCTAGTCAGTGACAAATTTCTTGATTTTTCCGGTTTGAATTTCATTTTGCTCCAACACAGCAATTCATCCAAATTTTTTAACGTTTGGCGGCAGGTGAAATAGAACAGCCCATAGCAATTCCTACCTTAAATCGACCCAATCCGTAGTGAAGTCACTCGTGGTAAATCGCATCCTAAATCCGCAGAAATAGATTTTCAAAATGTCGATAATTTTACCGGAACATGAAATATCTGGAGCGACTTCTACAGCAAATTGTGTGATACAGCGCCATAAGCATTTGCTAGATCCAACCAAACGACGTGAAAACTCAGTCTGTTTTTGCTCGTTGGATTGCTTTCCAGATCATTGATGTGTGTTCCAATTATCTTAGAACATCTGGAACTCCTTCCTTTTGTACCAAGGTATCAACGTATTTATTCATCTTTAAAAGGCTATTGATCCGATTGGCGATGATTGCGAAGAACAGTTGACCTTCGACATTGTGCAATGAAATTGGTTGAAACTGGGGAAGCACTGCTGAATTCTTCTCCTTTGGAATAAAAATACCATTTGCAACTCTCCATTTTTTGTACACAATTTCCCCACGCCATGCTTTGACCAAAAATTTGTGAAATAGAGACAGCTCAGACGGGCATTTTTTGTACACCAAATAAGTTATACCGTTTGGCCCAGATGAAAAACGGTTTCTTCTACTGCTCAAAATCTTTTTCAATTGGGTTTTTTTTGTCAATCTTCAGATCATTGTCTTTGGTTGTTTTGCCTCGATTGTGTACGTTTGTCTGAGGTATTCTTCCTGATCGACTTTGCACACAGTTAGACTGCTGGATTTAGGTGGATCAAACAGCTTTCTCCCAAAACAATATGGGTTTGAAATAAATTGTTGACGTATTTTCTTCTTTTGACGTTTTTTTGACAAATCCTTTCGGCATTGCGCAAACTTGCAAATCTTGCCCTAACTTCGTCCCAGAGTATGTCCAGATCAACTCGTTCTTCAGCGGCAGCATTCTTTCATTGGTTCCTTAGTTTTTTTTCTTCCTTTTTAGTAAATCTATCTCGTTTTGTCTCCTTGATTTTTTTAATGCTGGCTTTTTAACTTTTTTGTTGTACCCAAAGATTGTCAGACATTTTTTCATAGAGGATGTCTGTGAAACATCGTACGTTACTACTGGTGCTGATGAATTTTAGTTCAATGAACAGATCAACATCTAGGTTTGACCATGACTCGTTATCAGAAGCTGGAGAAAATTTTACACGTATCCGAGAGGGAATATTGCAGTCGGTCGCAGGGATACCACTTACACTGTGGTTGTCTACCGGGGGAGCAATTTTCGCCGTCTTGCTGATTTCAGATGGAATCACGCGTTGCGATTTCTGACATAGCAAACATCCCATCTCGGTTTGATGTATTTTCAATCCTCGCGTTGTTGAAAAAATTCTTCCGCATACACATTGATGACTCCCCACGCCAATAGGGTCTAAGCTGAGCATTGTCGTAGATCCAGTTGAGGCGCCGTTGAGCTCATCATTCCTCCCCTCCTTTTGGTTGAAGCTCTGGAGGCATTTATCTTTGGTTGTCAAAGCTAGTAAAATAGATCACTGGGCAGCCAAACTGTACGTGATCCTAATCGTCTTCCCGACCTGCCATCTGTCTTTCCAGAAGTCATCTGTCTTTCCAGAAGTCACCAGTCTTTCCTGGCGTTACTCGGTCTTTTCCGAGCGTACTGCTGTAGCCGAAAATGTATATAAAAACTCCGATGAGCGAAATCATCGAAAATTCCTCAGAGGAGGAATATATAGGTATATATATATATATAAGTTAATTTGTATATACATATGTGTGTATCGTATATGTGTATAATATGATATATGGTGATAATAGTACTGGTGTTAAATATTAATGATAGATATACTTCACACATTATTTAAAAGTAAGATGTTTTGTTAAAATGAAGTAAAACTAATAATTTTAATGATTGGGACCAATCTGAACATGATTAAGTGTATGCGGGATCTGGTTTAGTTGGGACCAAATGAAATCGAGACAAATTGACCGAGATTAAGTTTAAATGCAGCAAGATTAAATCTACATAAACCGAATAGGAGAACTAACTTGATTAATACTTTGAATTTTTATTCTGTCTAATTTAACATTCTTAGAATGCCCAAACGTTTTGTAAATAATTCAGTAGCATTTATTGATATTTGAAAAGAGTATGTTTAAGTACCTGACGTTAAAAATGATTGAATATTATTTTTGCTAATATAAAATTATTTTCTAAAATATGTTCTTATAAAATTTTGTAGGTAAGTAACTGGCTAGGATTTGGATCGGACAACTGGGTTCATCCATCTGTGGATCCAGTAGCTCCCGATGGTACATTCAATCCCAATTCAACTTTACTTCATATTTACTTATTTTGCTTTTTCTGGTCAACTATAACTCTAACAACAATTGGGGATTTGCCAGTACCTGAACGAAACGAAGAATATATTTTTATGATTTTAGATTTTCTGATCGGAGTTTTTCTTTTTGTATCAATTGTTGGCAAGGTTTGGAAAATGTTATTTTTTCTGTTTCTTAATCAATCAATCAATCAATCAATCAATCAATCAATCTTCGTTTTGCGTCCAGAGACCCGGTTCCCCGAGGTAGGACGTTTTCTGTTTCTTAATAACCAGTTAAAATATTTTTCAAAGTTTTTCAAGCAAAATTATTCAGAGTTATTTTGCGCCATTTATTCAAATTAACTTTACAGTTCATTTTTAATGTATCGAAAGTAATAGAAATAATAATAATAATGTGTCATTTAATACGGCCGCTATGCATAGCTTCTCTGGAGCGCTCAATAAACGATATGGAACATTCATACTCTAACTGTTTATATTCAGTTTGGAAAACTTATTTTCTTTGCTGTCAAATTTTATTTGAAAGATACCATACTCTAACATTTAGCATTTAATTATTTTGTTTCTTCAATCAATTTTATAAGAAAATTTATTAATTTGTCAATAAATAAAACACGCCATAAAATCTTTATTAACAAAAAATTACAGGTATTACAAAAGCCTATCGGAGTAATTTTAAATGTCTTTAAAACCATTAATTAGTTTTATCATCAGCATTAAATAAAAATATAAATTGTTAATTTATTTTGACTGCTTGTAATTTCTTGTTTTGTGGCTAACTGTCAATTTTAGGGCTTTAATTTAGAGGTCTGCCAAACAGCCTGTCATCAGCCAATTGAACATTTTTGATTTGGTCGACATTTTGTTGTGACGCTCTGGGTATCGTTTCAACAAGTTACAGATCCGCAATTAGATACTACATATTTGTTCGTTTGATGCGCTCCGCAAAAAGGACAAGATTCCCATGGTTTAATCTATCTGATTAGATTAGCATTGGTTGGTTCGTTGGTAGTTGTTGAATTACATATTTTTCTCGAATTTGTAGAGACAATCTTCCAGTTTACCTAACTTGTTGACCAGTGTGTTAATTGAGAAGCTGATATTATACATGTTATTGACTTGATTAGGATAGCCTGACTTTGAAGCAAAACAACTTGATTTAGGCAGGTATCCAATTATCTTATAACTTTCTCAGTGACTGAGACGTTGACATTGAATTATAAAGCAAGTTGTCCACTATTTTGTAGTCAACAGGTGTTTTCCGCCAAAGACAACAAATTCATTATTTGGATTGGCTTTTAAATAACTGCATACGTTTAATCCAATTCCTAACGCAGTATCCCTGAGTGAAACAATGTTGTGACCAGCAATCTTTGGTGATAAACCAAGTATCTTAGACACACGTCGCTAATAGCTATTGTTAGCCATTTTCTCGCTGCTTCAACAACTATGAGGTCTAAATTGTTAGCAATCGACGTCCGATAGAATAATAATAATAGTACTGTGTGTGACATACTTAATAAATTTTCGCTTTTTGAAATAATGAAACATGACAGATATAAATTATTTCTATTGAGAAGAGATTTAAATAATAGTAATAATAATGAAAAATTGTTAGAAAAGCTGTATTTGCAAAAAGTGTCTGGTGATAAAAGTATTTTCCTGATATGTAGATTGGGTGGCGACTTGATGGTTATGTTTGCGCTGACGAAGATTGTGTGTTGTAGTTTTAATTGGTGGTAGTAGAGGATGGATGACGTGAATGTTGTTATTTTCTACTTTCTTGAACAGTCTTCATTAAGCAGTGATTGTAGAGTGAACTTAAGGTGCTGGAGATGAATGGAGTGATGATTTGTAAAAACCATGCTGGTAGACTGTCTGGACCGGTACCGGATGGACAGGCCTTCGTTAGCATGTGCAGGACGGAGTATGGGGTAAATTGTTAATGTTGACGACTATTGATTGTTGTTGCTTTTGTTGGTGGAGTTTTGTAGGACGGGTCGGTCGACATGGAAGCAAAGTGGGTGTTGAGTGTGTTCGCATCAATTTGCTTTGAGGTTGACGTGTTGAATGATTTGTCAGAGCCTCTAATCTTGTTGACTTGTTCCTTTGCTTCTACGTTTATTATTAGTGACAGTTTTTTAGTTGCAGTTGATTAGTTTATTGATGTATTTGGTGATCGCTGCAGCTTTGAGGATGGATCCTGATTTCATGAATTTATTTTTTTGGCGAAGTAGATGTTTGATGAATAGGCTGATGAATGGAGAGTCTGATGATCTGATCGTGATGTTTGATGGTGGGTAGTACGTGTTGTAAGTTGAGTTGATGATTTTATAAAATTTTTCAAAACAGTGTTGCAAAAAATTGTCAATAGAGTTAGTTATAAACGTATTATCGTTAATATTATTATTATTATTATTATCATTGGCACCATTGTTAATATTATTATTATTGTTACAAGTATTATTACTATTAGTAGGACTATTATTATCATTGTTTATTTATTTATTTATTTTTATTTTTGAAGGATGACCAAAAAAGATAAACTTGTGGATAGGCCACCCTTAACTATAAATTTTAACTATAAATATAACAGAAATGTCAAATAAATACAAACACATAAACTCACGCTCACACACACTTACAAACACGCACCATACTACAATTCATATCACAATACTGTTATACAGAATACAGAAGAAACAAAATCATTGAAATGAAATAGAAACTCAACATACGCTCACTTACACGTTCAAATAAATAGACACGTAAACAAATATGGCCACACACTATGCACATTAGGGTGGTCACAAGAAATTTTTTTTCAAAAATATGTAAAAAAAAAAATTTCGAAATCTTATCGGGGGAACCCCCGTAAATTGTGCCACTTGACTAAAAAATGACATTTGTAAAGTTTTAGCTCAATTGGATAATGCTAACCCGTGCCTCATCGAGGTTGAAATTTCGAAAAATTAGAAAATTTTGAAAAAAACGCAGTTTTTGGTTTGTAAAGTAAAAACGGTTCACTCTAGAAACATGATTTAGGTTTTATTTTGTTCATTGATTAGTTTTCTTCAAATGTTACTATGAACACTATTTAGCTACAAGTTATAGTTTCTGACATATTTGCATTGTTACAGATACACATTGAAAAAACGTTGAATTTCTCCATAACACAAAAACACACAATAACTTAATTTGTTTATAAAGAAATGTTTTAAAGTAACACCGTTGTATCTAAATCACTATTATTAACAAATAAACACATTTTTTATTCATATTATTTTGTTTATAGTTGTTATACATCAAATAAATTTCTACTTTAACTCATTGTTCAAAAGGTAGAGGCTCGGATAAGGAGGCTTTTGAGCAACCAGGAAATTTTGTCCGACATTCAGCAATTACTTGCAAAAGATATTGTTTTTGATCTTCCTCTTTTGTAATACATGAGTTGTAATCTGTTATTAATTTAACACCCCTTTCTGCTGTATCATTTGAAACTTTTAATCCGTCCACAATCTTTTTACTCTTTAAATATTTTTCGTTATTACTCCATAATTCTGGATTGGTATGCAAAAATTGATCATTAATATTAAATCTTTTTAAAAAATTACTTGATTGTGATGAAATAAAACAGTCCGCATTTTTGTCCAATATTTCTGATACTTCATTTATTTTTATTAGTGGTTTCATATCACAGTAGTCATCAAGTTCTTCATCCTTATTTGCTTGAGATATTAATTTTGTTGCCATTCTCTTTTTTACACAATTACTTAATGAATCATCGAATAATGAAAAAACAGCCTGCTCTGGGATTGAAGTACTATTTGTGGTTGATAAATTTTGAAACTGATATATCTGAGATAAATTTATTGACTTTATTGTAATTTACCAAAGATTTTAACAATTGTAAATCTTGGTTTGGAGCAAGTGCAGGTTTCGGAGCATCCAACCACACTTTCACATAAATATTTATAATAAATAGGCAAATATCATGGAATCCTTGCTTTTCAAAAATTGTCAGTTGAAACTGTTCTCTGAAAAGGTTTATTTTCAACGAATATATCGCTTTTGCCATCCACCTTGCGTGATGAAAAGCACCAGGAGCCGCAAACACGATGTTTTCTGACGGAAAGCGTTCTAAAAATATAAGACAAAGATTAATCAATTTTTTGTAATCGCTCCTTGGATGATGAACTGTTAATTGTTCTAAAAGATAACTTGAAATTTGACCCGGATTAATCAATTTGCTGGCTACACTTTTATCTTTAACTCCTGATTTAAATTTTGTTGTTCCATTCAGTTTTAAATTTTTTGAAAATATCCGATTGAGGGCCTGTAGTCTTTCCCATCACAGCATCAAAAACGGATGTCAACACTACCTCCAAAATGTGGTGGCGACATGGAAGAAACAATAATTTTTTCTCCATCAATTGCTCTAATAAAAGGCAAGCACCTTTAATGCGGCCAGTATTCACGGCAGTTGTGTCAAAGGACATTGCTTGAATCTTGTCTGGTGCACCCTACTTTCCACGTTCTGAATAAACAGATTTTGCAATTATACTGCCAGCACCATTTTTTAATTGGGGAACTCCAATTAACTATTCTTCTTCTCCACAGCTAATTAAGACTGCAACTCTTACAACATTTTCTTTATTTAACATATCTGGAAGTAATTTCCCATCCCAATGTACAACTGCTCCTTACCAGAAATCGTAAAAAAAACCAAAAGATCTTAATATTAATACATAAAAACAACATATAGCACCCAGGTTGGTAATAGTAAATAAGTTATTGTGTGTTTTTGTGTTATGGAGAAATTAAACGTTTTTTCAATGTGTATCTGTAACAATGTAAGTATATCAGAAACTATAACTTGTAGCTAAATAGTGATCTTAGTAACATTTGAAGAAAACTAATCAATGAACAAAATAAAACCAAAATCATGTTTCTAGAGTGAACCGTTTTTATTTTACAAACCAAAAACTGCGTTTTTTTTTCAAAATTTTCCAATTTTTCGAAATTTCAACCTCGATGAGGCACGGGTTAGCATTATCCAATTGAGTTAAAACTTCACAAATGTCATTTTTTAGTCAAGTGGCACAATTTAGGGGGTTCCCCCAATAAAATTTTGAAAAAAATTT